TTAATACAATCATACCGTCTATGTCTGTAACAAGGAAGTATTCTCTTTCCTTCAAATTTTCCTACCAAAATTCCCTACATGATTCTCCCACCTATTACAAGAACTTCAGGCCTCGAAAACCTCATTGCTCTTGAACCAATCACTGTCATAATATTTGGCGATCTCGACTCATGTAATTTTCTCTACCGTCCCAATATTTTCTACTAGATCAAAATGTTTCCTCACTATCCCCCAACTAACGCCCTCAGTCTCTGTTCTGTGAGGATGCAGGACCAAATTTTATGTATTTTATTTTATTTTTAATTTTCAGATACACAGGACTCCTGGTATGGAATAGATAAACTTTTAGGAAAATGTGTCTCCTCAAGTCGCCTAACTTTTCGACAATGAGGCTGAAAACCTAAAGACAATGCCGAGTGGAGAGAGACCATATCAACACATCATCTTCCGCCATGCCACCAACAGCGCCTGTTCTCCACTGCTTGCAGCCAGCCTATTTGCATTGTAAATAAGAACAAGCGGGCATCTCGATCAAGTTAGGGGCTTCGTCACGAAACATTTTAATTAACGGGCCCATTAGTAAGATAATGAATACACTGGAAAGCTTGTGGAAAATGCATCCTTAGGAGTGAGGAACTCATATCATGATGAACATTGTAGCGTCTCTCGTGCAGCCGTAAACAACTCGTCGTCCACGGATACAGTTTAGATGTTGTGTGCAATTAGACAGGCAGCTTAGCAAGTTAAATAGAAAACACTGAAGTAAGAACACGTCACAGATTTGCTGTAATCGTTTATAGAACGTCCAATATTTTAACATTTCTACATAGTTTTAACCCTTTGAATTATCAGAGTCAAAGTTATTTTAAGACCTGCCCTTTGCCACCAATCATTTCGTCCTGCTGACAAGCCCCTTAAGACCTACAACCAGTGTTTTTTTTTTCAACTGAATACTTATGATATAGTTCTTATGTAACATCCTCTATGATGAGGGGCTAGGTCTGCTTTTACAATTGCTGCTGGCCTATGCCAGCGCAGTCTTATCAGGTACTAGTCCCATGAGAATCATGATCACATTTGAGACTTCCCCAACCTGGAGGGCTAGGTCCCTGTATTTATATCCCCGAGGAATATGGTGGCCCAGTCATAGCCCCATGTACGAGTATCTCATTGTAAACACTTGCATCTCCAGTGGAAATATGCATTTGGTTAATGTTGGGTAGGGAAATAATCACTGTATACTGCAGGGGTGATAAAAAACATAAGCAGGTGTGTTTTATGTTTTCCTGCTATTTAACAAAGCTTTTGGTTTTGAGTATTAAGCGGTTTGTTTTTACTGTTAAAGAACTGCCCCGTCAATACATAAGGCAACCAGGAACTGCACCCTTGAAGCCTTTATTTTCATCAGTTTCACTTGACATGAAATCAGCAAATGCAAGAAATGACAATCACTCACCGGCTTCATATTCCAGTTGAATTTTAGACAAACGCAATCTTAGGAGCTTATATAGCACATTCGGGGCCGTGGTCTTAGCTACACCAAATTCCAGATTGCGTTGAATAATATATTTTTCGGTCTTCTTAAATTGCAACAAGAGATAGCTTCTTTGGGTTCTTTGCACATGGCTGTCTTATGCGTTCCACAGTCTCTTTGAATGTTCATGGTCTTCTTGTTGATTTCTGCTTTCCTGTACTCCCCATTTATTTAAGCTGAGTGAGCCACTGAGTCACTAACTTTTCAGATGTTGCTTGTGTTCCATATGGAAATGAAAAATTATTTTCATGGTCACAACTGACTTCAACTCAGTATACTGTAGCAGGCACTGAGCTCTCTGCTCAATGGATGCCACCTCACTGTCTGGTGGGCCACACACAACATGAATGCCACAGTAGGACCCATGCTGCACATCAATAATCACAGTGGCACTAGTGTCTCTATGGGTGTGACACCAGGTCTCTGACTTTAAGGGAAGACCATAGAATGAAGGTATTTGTGAACAGGGTGCTGAGGAAAATATCTGCAGCAAATTGCAGAAAATGTCATATTGGTGAGCTTTGTAACTTGCACTTCTGTGCCAGATTCAACTATAATCAAGTCAAGGAGGATTAGATAGGCAAGGCATGTAACACACATGGGAGGAAAGAGATATGCATATAGGATTTTGGTGGGAAATTCAGAAGGAAAGATACAATTATGAAGACCATTAGGAAGATTAGGAATACCTCCCTTACCTCTGCATCCAAAGTTTCCAGAAACTTCACTGAAATTACACATTTCAGATAATCTTCAACTGGAACACATTTTCTCTTAATGGCCACATCAAAATCAGTCATTATCTTTTGTCCAACACCCGAAGAACATGAGTAACATTGTGAGAAAACAATATGTGACCAAATATATTATTTCTTTTGGACTTCACCCATTGTCTTTCACATACCAGACGATGGGTGAAGTTCAAAATAAACCAAAAGAAGTAGTGTATACACCATCGTCAGAATCCTTTCAAGTCTATCCAAATATATTATATACACATTTTCAAATGAAAAAGCACAGTGACGTACAGTACTTCCTGCTGCATCCCTCTAAACTTAAAAAGCTGCACCATGCTGAAATGCCCACTGAAAGCAGCACAGAAAGGGGTGCAATTTCATAAAAATATTTTCTGTTGAAGTCTGCATATGTTTCCAGCAAGTTCACTGAAACATCAAACTCATCCAAGCCTGCAGCTCTGTGCAGTGCCGTCAGTCCACGCATGTTATGAGCATTTACATTTGCACTGTTCTTGAGCAGACATGGTATAAGATCCCACAGGTTTGTCCATATGGCAATTTCCAATGCACTGTTCAAGCTTACACTGCAGGAAGACCTTTTCACAGCCAAGTAGTCAATAAAGTACTTATTTTTAGATTCCAAACCTACGTACAAAGGGGTTCTATGATGCATGTCATGCAAAGTAACATCTGCTCCATCAACAACTAGAAGGTTTACTAAATTCAGACTCCCTTTTGAAACAGCTGCATGCAAAGGAGAAATACCTTCAGTGTTTTGTTGGTTTACATTGACATCCTTGTCCAACAAGTATCTTACAATATGCTCAGTCATTATGGACAGTAAGATGCAGTGGCGAATCCTGTGATGGGTTTACAACATTAAAATTCGCACCCATTTCTGAGAAGTATTTCAGGATATCTAGTGCTCCATTCTGGCATGCAATATGTACAATACTATTGCCAGCTTTAGTTCTGAGATCTAAACTGAAATACTCCTTCAATAGCCAGGCTATCTTGTTCTGATGCTATATGCAGCAATGCCATAACATCAAATTTCTTTACATGCAGATTTGCATCATTCTTTGTCAGCAAAATTACAATACTCCACCATCTACAAATAGCAACTAAATGCGACTCCATCAACTTCATCAAGTGTAGATTGGGGGGCGAAATTTGTTTTTCTTGTGTTGGTACCATGCGGGGTATTGCTTCTCTCCATTGATGATTCCTATAGTGATAGTTCTCTGGTGCAAGGCTTCACACATGTAGAGTTTTTAATAATTAAGTTCTGCCTTACATCTCATAGATGGTTTGTGCTGTTTGACTTGTAATATCCCATCATGGTGCTGGCATAGGTGTCCGGAGAAGGCGACTAGGTCTGATTGGGCTCAATTGAGTAGGTTTCACCTGAAGACAGAGACAGAATCCAGTCTCTGAAACGTTGTGCTTTGAAAAATAAACATGAAGGTGTTTTTAGATAAAGACAGAATGATGGATAATGTCTAGAATCACTATGCACACGGTTACAAAGTGTAGACTTTTACCAGTCCTAATTAGGCTGATAATTAATATTTAGTTGTATGCTCTTTGGCTACTTTAGGAAGAGCTACTTAAACCACGTCCAGCAAGTCTGGAGGCTCCAGATTGCTCAAGATCTTCCACAACCTTCATAACTGAGTCAATATATGACCGGAACACAGAATTTAAAGTGGCAGACACACTCTGACATAGGACCGCAAAGGGTTACTGTCGATCGTAGAGAAATTGGATGGGGTGGTGTGGACTAGACCAGGCATGTCAAACTCAACTTGTACAGAGGGCCACCTCAGCCCTATAAATAATAGTCCATGGCCACACTTAAAAATAGAAATATACATTAGATTTTGATACAAGGAAATTTAATTTTATTTATTATTTAGGAATAATTTCAATATAATTACCTAAAGTGGAACACTTATATTTTGTCCACAAATCAAACATGTAATTTTACCGTCTATTTCACAACAGAAATAAGAGATTTCCCATTTTTCTTAAAAAACACTTGAATATTTTGAAAGCAACATTGCCCTTTAAAAGTTACTGTACATATACAAGAAAACTCGTAGTTGATAATTTAATGTTTAATTAAAAGCTTTATACGTTCATCACAATGTAACATCAGCACCTGTCCCTGTGTGAAAATGAACTGAATGACAATGTACAAGAGACTACCGGACTAGTAGGAAGGTGTATCTTGTCTCAATGGTCATAAAAGTGAAAGTTTGCTAGCAGCCCATTAGACAATGACTGGGGGTTGCAAGCTAGTTTTGAAGGTAGAAATCCCTTGCACTTATCTGTCAGTAGCCACCCTGCTTGCATTCTTACTACGCCTCCAAAAGGGGCTCTTGGAAATACTTGGGGTGGTGAGGCTGTGCAGATTTTAGTGCATTAACCTTTTGAAATACAATACTTTGGCCTTCACGAACTTTACGAACCGTTAGTTGGGCAAACCCTTCTGCAATTCTTAGAATCACTTTTCGTGCAGCCTGCTAACTTATGTCTGCGTGAGACTTCTTGTCTTCTGGTCTGTTAGAAAATTGTCTTTACAAAAAATATTTCTACTAAAATTTTAATATTGATTTTAAAATCAATTAGCTCTAAAAGTTGGGGGGCCGCATGTTTGACACGGCTGGACTAGACTGATGGGGCTCAGGATAGGGACCAGTGGCAGGCTCTTGTAAACACGGTAACGAACTTTCAGGTTCCATAAAATGTTGGGAGATTCTTGTGCGTTTTCTTAAGTATCTGAGCAACTCAACTTCCATGCAGTTAGTTGAGTATCTGAGCAACTGATGGAACTCCATGCAGTTATGTAAGATTTGAGGTTTTCACGGCGATGGCTATGAAGAAAGCAGTCTTCTGGGATGTGGCACCGTGTAGTTATTGTGTCAACACGATGTCTACATGGTCTACACGGCGCCAAATCCTAGAAGACTGATTTTCTCCATTCAGTTAGTTCGGTAGTTACTTACTTATTTAGGCCCATCTTTATATGATTTCTGGAAGACTGAATAGGCAGTTATTGTCCCCACGTTTCTGTTCGTCGATTAATTGATTGAGTGATTTATGTAATTGGAGATGTAAATTCTGGATATTCACGACGTTCAAGCGGATTTAATACGACGTGCACTCTCATGCCAATATCTAAAAACAATATGAGTAAAACTGCGTCAAGATGTGCGTGTTAATAGGTGTGTTTATGTACATGTTGAGATTAATGTTGTGAAATGTAGGGCAATCAGTTACATATATGATTAGGGGTGTATATTTAATAACTTATGAATTTAATAGGTTTTTATTGTAGGACGTGCATAGGCATGTTATCCTAAGCTGCATTTCTGATCGTTTGTGGTTATGGTAGGTCATCATTATTAGGTTATGTTGTAACAAGATCCAGTAAGTAACTACACATACTTCCTATTCAAACTTATGGTATGTATTTCACTAGCAATCTTGTTAGTATATTTTAATCTTTTCGACTAGAAGTATTCTTTTACTCTCAGTATTAATGTGTAAGGGCAAAAAACAGCCATCGGCTGGTTATAAAACCACGTGTGTCTTTTATTGTAGTTCCACGAGTTTGCCTCTTGCCGACTTTCATATTTGAAAGTAAATTTAGCACCGACTTCTTAGATATATATATACTATTGCGAAACTCTTGTCATTTGTACATTATATAATTAAAATACTCCATTGCATCTAACAGGTAGAGAAATTTACATATTTTATAAATGTAGTGAATGGCGTAGTATGCAAGGTCGATTAGATTTTGGACATAATATATTTAAGACATTTTACATGCACATAGTAAGTAGTGTCCTATTTGCCGTATTTAACAATGTCATGAGAGATGTTTATGTTCAGTAATGTTAATTGGAAGTATGTGGATGATTGATAATAATGAGACCGGAGTCATGGGGAAGGAAAATCTCGTGGAGCATACTAGTATATTGGGGCTCAAAATTAAAGATATTTGTGAAATACCTCTGGATCTTTTATTGCATACGAAGTAGCAATGGTAGCGCCAGATCATTTGTTGGAAAATTAAATCAGATAGAACTGTATTTGTGGTTCAGAAATTTGATATGAATTCTTTGCAAAGTTAGAGATCATTTGTCACTTTTATTTCTCCCATGTTTACTTGCCTATTCTGTACTGCATAATATTTATGTATATCATTATGGTAACTTCCAGTGCCAGAATACTGAAAATTGTGCCATTTAATTTTCAGCAGGTTACAGAGTAAAAAGTAATTCACATGATATATTTGTTATGTGTTGAACATGGAAGTGAACAAGCTGGCTCAGTGTGGTAGTATATGGCCATCAGCACAACAAATAAAATAGATAAACCAATGTTAGTGTATTACCATTTATTTATTATTCTATATCTGCTACATGTTTGGATCCAGCTGTATCATACTCAGGCAGTTTTCATGAAATAAAGCAATATCAAGCTGTAACTTGCATTCAGTAGACGCCTTGTTCATGTCTCAGCCAAGACAGTGATAATCCTGTCTGTGGTTTTTCTTGGTTTACCTCTTCAGATGGATGCCAAGTTAGTACCTCAAAGTATGCTATGACTGCTACATCTTCACTCCTTTCTGTTTCACCAAATATGTTCATCCTCTGCTGCCGCTGATACAGCATTGTTTAATAACTTGCAATACATCTATCCTTGGGATGTTTGTATGTGGAAAGACTGTCTTTCCATTACAGTTCACAAGCTGAGTTCTGTGAACGTGTAGTTTGAAAAACAATGGCTGTTAGCCTATTCTGGCGATGTGCCATGAACTTATTAACATGAAATGTTTCTTTGTTCATGAGGACAAGTTAGTGGCAGCATGAAAAGTTTAGGACTAGTGGCAACTATGTGTTTTAACAGTGGTAAAACATTCATATTACAAATGAGACCCATTACTGAGAGGGCTCACAGCTAAGTCATCTTGCAGTCAAGGTCAGCTGTTTTTAAGAATATTCACTAACTGTGGTACAAGCTGGAAGGTCATGTGTTCAATTCCTGATGCGGTCATTGGATTATTCAACTGACTTAATCCTTCCAGCTGAACTATGACCCTGGGGTTGACTCAGCCTCTAACAGAAATGAGTACCAGAAATCTTCCTGGGGGTAAAGGAGCAATGGTGCTTAAGGCTGCCACTTCTTTCAAGTTTTGTTACTGTGTTTCCTATCTTTGTTGAGATGATTTACTGAATATATCATCATTTTTTCTTGAGGACTGTAAATGATTGAGTCCTCAGTTATACTTTCAGTGCAAGATATTATGGGTGTTTTGTCTGAAAAGAATTAAATATGTTTATATTGTTTATTAATATCAGTAGCTCAGAATATAGAACATTGAATGGTAAGATGATTACTAGTGAAAAGGGAATTGGAAAGGATATCGAAGGAAACAGTTGTGGCCTAATTTCAGGAATTGTGTTAGCATTTACTGAAGGGAGTAAGGAAAAAACCATGAATTCCTTGGTGGCCTCATTGACATTCAAATTGTGCACCTTTCAAATAAAAGTGGAGCATGACCTATTGGGACAATTTGCTTTATTTGGTGTGTTGCACACAGTGGGAAGGAAAACTTGCAGCACTTATGATGTTGTTGTTGTTGTTGTTGTTGTTGTTGTTGTTGTTATTGTTACTGGAGAGGGTGGGTTTCCCCATGCACTTAGACCAGATATTGGTCCATTGTGCGTCCCCATGTGATATTCTACCAGTCTCTATACCCTACCGGTATTGGTGCGTGCCATCAGTCCCGACTCAGCCAGCGAGTTCGGCCTCTACTGGCTCAGCGGTATCTCGATGCTTCCCCCATCTACCAGAGGCGTTAGAGACTACTGTTGGGCAGGAAATGTCCTGAATTTGGCTCAGAGGTCCCCTTGGGACATGAGGTTCTTTTATGTGTCGTAAAGCTACGACACGGGATCCACGGCTTAAAGTCCCTCCCGGAGGACTTGTTCCCTGAATTTTTCCGCCCTTAAAAATTCCTCAACCTCCGCCGGGCTTGAACCCGCGTACCTTGAGTCACGAGGTGGGAACGTTACCCCTAGACTATGGAGGCCACTACCACTTATGTTAGTATTCTTTGTGCATATTTTTTCCTTTTATTTCAGTTTTTATACAGCCCACTTATTCAAATGCATAATGGTATTGAAGTGTGACAGTGATGAATTTCAGATAGGTAAGAATCCAACATGCGCTTGTTGCCTTACATTTATAAGCTCCACCTCTTTCTTCAGTAGAATGAAATATATTGATAAATCAACACTGAATTAATTTTCAAAATTATTTTTTTAACATCTTCCCAGAATTATTACACAGTAACTATACTGAGGCCACAGAAAGAAGTGAAATGGATGGTGGGGAAACTGCTTGTGGCTTCCCAGTGCCTATATATCATTCTGTTTTGCTGTTGTCTGCCAGTGAATGCAAAGTTCTTGTTGCTTCTAAAGGTTATCACATGGTTATCACTTACAACCTTAGTGTGAACACATTCTGTATGACTGGAGGGGAATACATGGAATTGTACTGTAGGGGGATATAACTGCTGACAGATGTGGAGCAGGATGAACCACAAAACTTCTCTCTGTGGCCTCGATAAATTATTAAAAAGTTAAATTGAAAAAATTCAAACAGAAATTGAGTTCATTTTATACATATTTGTAATAAGTTAAACAAGATATTTTTCAGTTTGGCTAATTAAGCAGTTTGATTGTGTGGTTTGGCAGAACATTCTACACCATCAATTCTCTTGTAACATATAAAAGTAAAAGTAGAGGTATCCCTGTAACAGGACGTGGAGTCCCATAGGGTTGTGAGATGTTGAGGTTTCCACATTTTCTCTAGACAGTCGGCTCATAGATGGTGGTGAGGTTGCCGGCCACCCTTTACCCCCAAGGATATTCCAGGAATATTCCTGGTACTCATTTCTGTTAGAGGCTGAGTCGACCCCAGGGCCATAGTGCGGTTGGAAGGATTAGCTCAATTGAAAAGAATCTGATGACCTCATCGGGACTTGAACCCCTGACCTTTCAGCTTGTAGCATAGTGCCTCAACCAACTACACTACCATGCGCCCCTCTTGTAACATATAATGGATTCTGAACTGAAGCATCCATATTATGTGTATAATGTAAATAATCAACTTAATTGAATGATATTTTTGTCAGCGTGACATTTTAATATATGCATATCATGTGACCAATTGTTTTTATGCTGTTGTCTGATCATTGGGTCATAAATATGGTTTTAACAGTGTGATCTAAAAAATGCATGTGCATATACTACGTACTATGCCACATATAACACTGCCTCCTACCCCGACAATTTGTAGCGTACGTTACTCTGAAAACAATTTTCAGAGTGCCCACTTTTCTGCATCTGACCAGGTCTCACATTGTCAAGGATTGTTTGTAGAAGTACTGTAATGCTGCTGCCATGAAATAGCAGACATTTTGCTTTGATTCTCTCTGTGGGCTCTTGCACTGTATGATAACACCAGTCTTTTTTTGGGGGGGGGGCAGTGCACTTACTGGCAGACGATTGACATGTCCTGGCGATCTTGTCAGACAGAAGTCACACATTTAGTGTGTACCTTTTGCAGTTTGGCGTTTGGCTATGTGGATCTGTTTCCCAGTTGGATTCTTCCTCACTTCTTTAGTTATCTCCAGTCTTCAGTGAAGTGTCCTGACTTGCTTTGCAGGATGAGACATGTCATGCTTCAGTGTGTAGAGCTTATGTGCAATTAACTCCATGGAGCTGAGCACTTCTTGAGAAGCCTCCAGTCATGCAACTACTCAAAGACTTCCCAGCATTTTATGGAACTTGAAGGTTCATTAGTGTGTTCACAAGAGCCCCCCCCCCCNTGGCTCCATCCTGAGCCAGATCAGTCCAGTCCATACAGTCCCATCATCCATCAGCTCTATTATAATATTGTCACAATTTAAGGGTGACTATAGACGGGGTTTGGATTGCGGATTGGATTTATTGACCGCTTACAGGTCGTAACTACAAGTAACTATAACACTATTGTTCTTTACACACTTGACAGATCACTGTTGCACACACTAAGTCTTTTCAATCTGCTATCACTAGTCGTTTCCCAGTAACAGATCTTAACAGTGGACACTCTTCAGCTTCCATTTTCAACTTCACTGACTAAGAATTCTCTTCACATACTCCCTTACAACTGAACTAAGCTCAAAGTCAATGTTACAGATACTTTACAACTGCAGTGCCATAGCTCAAGCGGTTAGTCGCTGGCTTCCCATCCTGGCAGCACGGGTCTGGTCAAGTGGGATTTGTGGTTGACAAAATGGCGCTGGAGCAGGTTTTCTCCAAGTACTTCGGTTTCCCCTGCCAATCTTCATTCCACCAATTGCTCCACAATCACTTTCACCCATCATCGGGCTGGTGCAATAGGCCAGTAGTGGCCTCAGTACAAGGGACTTAGTCCCACCCCACTAGCAATAAAAGAATACTTTACAACTGGCAGTTTACTGCCAATCTTCTGAGCGCCAAGCCATTTGAGGCTCACAACCAGAATTTCTTTTTGCAACTGAAACCTTGCAGGCATATTCCTTATGTAACATCCTCTCTGATGTGGGGGTGCTTTTGTCTCTTCTGAATATGCTTGGCCTTAGTAAAATGTACATATCGCACATATAGCATGTTATTGACAGTTTTTCTTTTTTGCACTACTATACGTATATACAAGTCCTCTGTTAGTCCAGGGTTTGCAAAGCAGATCATGTCTGTCTTACACATGTTATGCTACAAAGGCAGCTTAGTCACTTCAATGGTCGTAAGCTTGGTCACCACCAAGTTTAAGCCTCTTATATTTTCTATGTCTGGCTTCGCCTTCTCCTATATTGCAAACATGTTCATTCTCATGATTTAGTATGACTTCTGCTTGTTGCCTGCACAGTTTTGTTATATAATGGTACAAATACTGAAGGTTGAAATCCGTGTGCAAATCGTGGACCAGTGTGCACCTTGGAAAATTTCCAGTGGTGCGGAGAAGTTTGTTCTGTAGGTGCTTCAATTTTAAGAGACAGGTGTCTGCCGCTATTTCCCAGACAGGGCTAGCATAAGTTATTACTGATTTGATCAGTGTCCTATGGAAGGCTAGTTTAACGGTGGATGTTAAATGGTCACTTTTGAATAGGGAATAGATTCTTATAAATATTATGAAGGCCTTGGCTTCAATTATTTCTATGTGCAGTCTCCACGTAATCCTCTTATCAAAGATTACACTGAGATAGTTTACATGATTGACGAAGGGGTATTCCATCCATTCAGTGAGAGATTAGCCTCAGGGGGCCTAAGTCTGTGGGAGAAGTAGATGGCCCGAGTCTTAATTGATTTTTATGTTCCACCGGTCACATCATGTCACAATAGCACTGAGACCTCGCTGCAACTTTCTGAGAACATAGCCCTCTTTGCGGTCTGTTGCGTATATACAGGTCATCAGCAAAGAGACCTAGATAGACACCCACTATCATATTTATACATGCTGTACAGTGTGAGGGACAGGACGGAGCCTTGTGGCACTCCTGCTTCAATATCCCTTGGAGCTCACATTTCACCTTCGATCGAAACTGGGATTCTGGGTTTGCATCTTATTGCATGGATACCTGTCTGCTTTTTTTCTGTGCTTCTGTTGTCCTGTGTAGTTAGAGGTAGAGGCCTTATGAAGAGCTGATCCTCCATCTGAGGAATGCACTAAATGTCTGTAAGTACAAATCTGAAGGGGAGGAGACTTGCAGGAGCTCAGTGTTTTGTGGACAGATCTATGTACGAGTATATGATGTAACAGCTTGATACATTTAAATTGAAAATGTCTGAAACCCATCATCACCTGTTAACTTTTCTATAATGTCCAGAGTATTAGATTTTCAACTGTGTAGTCATATTTATTTACTGACACAGTGTATGTTTATTTTCAGCCTTGTAGAAAAATGGATTCAAATTTCAACGACATGTACCAGGCAGATACAGTAGCAACCTGTGACACTGCTGCATTAAAGAGTCTGGGATGCAGTGATGATGTGGCGCACACTGAGCACCTGGAATCGGACATCTTGCTATCAATTAAGAAAGAGGACTTGGTAAGACAATCAGTATATATGTAATATTTGAAGTTTTCACTGCAGGGACTATGAAGAATTCCGTCTTCTGGTATGTGGCACCGTGTAGATATTGTGTAAACTGACCACAGCCACCTGCTCATGCTGGTTTCTTGCTCACAGATTTTTATACCCTGAAGATGGAGGTGATACGTTCCTCTGAAACGTCCATTTACACAATATCTACAAGGTGCCACATCCCAGAAGATGGCATTCTTCAATCAGTATAGATCTTTGTAACAGCCTATAAATATTGCAGGCTCTTTATGTGATTAAAATCATGTCTTCTATTTGTGGAGGAAACCTATACCATCATATATTACACGTATTTAAGAATTCCTCAGATTTGCAATTAGTATGCACTGTCAGAATCTTTGTACAGTAGCCACTGGTGGCAGCGGAATCCATTTCGTGGCTGCAAAGTTCAGAAGGCAGATTCTATACTCCTACCAGTTATGATTTAAAAATGTCGGTCAGCATAGTTGATGTACAACTTAAGTTGAGAACAGTGTTTTGAACACTCCCAAGGCAAAGCTTTGACAGAAGTATAGGCTGTGACCTAGAGAAATCTGACTAGGAATTGAAACTAAGCCCATAAGTTGACCATAAGTGTTTCCTTGCTCCCTGATGCTTTGTGATCACCTCAGTGATTAGTTCATAGTTTACAAAGTCATGAACAGAATTTTTCAGAATGAAGACTCTTTGTTACCTATTTACTGATGAATTTAAAGGTGACATTTATTTCCTTTCATGGAGCAATGTGTAAATGAAGAATACAGTATATTTTCAGATACATTTTGAAGTTACAGGAAGAAGAAATTCATTTCTCTGATGGTACATCTGTAGGAGACAGTAATAAGAAGTTCTTTGAATTAACACCTGTGGAGTTTGAAGTGCAAGAATCATTCACCAACTATGATACAACTGCCTATCAAGAGAGTAGTGATGACCGCAGGTACTTATGTCCCCCCCTCATGTTCACTGATTTGAGTTAAGAAGTGTTAATCTGAAATACAGGGCTACTATAAATGATTCATTCGTTTTTAAAACTCATTTTCCAAAGTACAGTCAACTCTCGATTATCCGGGGGCGGATTAACCGGTTNCGTACAAATATAATTTATATATAAAAAGAACCATAAACTCACCAAGTTTGTATTGTGTGCACCAGTTGGCAGCATGAGTTCAGTGCCTTTACAAAATGGCAACAAAGCAAGCAAAAAGAGTTTTTGTTTGTTGGAATATGCGAGATGTTCGTCTGTTATAGCAGTGCAATGCACATTCAAAAGAGAGTACGGAAAAGAACCACCATGTAAACAAAGCATTTTGTGGTGGTATTAGCAGTTTAAGGACACGCTGGATTGGCCGTATTGGTGAGGATGACATAGCTCTGTTCACTTGGCCCCCCAGATCACCTGATCTAACGCCTTGTGACTTCTTCCTTTAGGGGTACATTAAGGTTCGTGTTTATGTACCCCCACTGCCAAGAACACTAGTAGAGGTGAGGGAACTCATCTATGCTGCAGTGATGACCATTGACAGGATGATACTACAAAATGTGTGGAACGAGCTCAACTACCGCCTGGACGTGTGTCGTGTGACCCAAGGGGCACACATAGAACATTTGTAGAGTGTGAAGAAAACTTGATGAGTTTACGGTTCTTTTTATATATCAATCATATTTGTATGTATATTGCTTTGGAAAATATAGGGTTTTAAAAAGGAATGAGTCATTTATAGTAGCCCTGTATATATATTATCGAGAATTCAGCATGTGTCAAAGTAAGTGGTAGCTATGGGTACCTGCACAAATGTACTTCAATAAGGATTCTGCTCTGCAGAGTTATAATAGTTACTTTCTGAAAGTAGATCATTCACGATATATGTTTGACAGAACGTGAAGTCAGTGCAGTTTCTGCTCATTGCTCATTTTGAATTATTGGTTGTGCACCAGTTCTGTAGATGTTCTCATACAATTCTAAATTTGGCACCAGGTGGGCCCAAAAAGGACATTGATTTCAGATGTTCATGGTGGTGAAGATGTCATATAACTTTTTTAACCAATAAGAAGGTAAAAAGTTGTCCTTATGCATAACTAATTAAGCACTATGCCACGAAGACATATGGGGGAGTGGATGTATAGATCCACATTTTAAGAAAAGGAATTAAATTACTGATGAGAGATCTTGATGGTGGTGAAGGTGTCATATCACTTTTTTATCTAATAAGGCAAGGATTTAAAGTTATTCTTTGCAAAAAGTGGTTACTACGCTTTTCTCATTTTTAAAATATGCAGGTTTATGGATGCAGGAATAAAAAAAATGTGCATAACTGAAACGGTTCATTGAATGAAAGTTGCTAGTCCATTTTATGTAACTGGATTTGAGTTGCTGAGCATATGGTTTAATGGCAGGCTTTTAGTGATAGCAGTAATGAACCTTCAGGTGTCATACCAATGACTTTCTTGAGTAGTTGAACATGCCTGCATCAACAAACATGTGGGCCATCGCTAGGCAGCAGTCCCTCATGATGTGTTAGAAACAATAGAGTAGCTGTTGGAAACGGTGTTTTCTGTGTAGTCAGGACTGAGGTTATATAACAAGGACCAATAGGACAAAGCAGTGGAATTGCCATCATGAGTTAGTTGCGAGACATCCACCATCCAGCAAGGACATGAGCACAGAAGTAGAGGAATACCCATTGTTGGGAGCCATTACCTAGCAATGCCTGATGAAGACATAGAAGCTTTAATGTGTGGAGTAGTGATTTGTAGAGTGCGTAGATCTGAGAGAGTATTATAGTTGCTTATAGTTATGAGTTAAAGTGTTCATTAAATCCAATTATTAATCCAAACCCTGTATCTGGTCACTAACACGTGATAGTATAAACAGACTTTGTTAATGTACTGTGAATTATTTCATATATAACAAATGTCATTTATTAGTGTCTCACTTGTGTTACAGTGTCATCTAGTAGGCATGGTTGTATTTCTTTCAGCAACAAAAATAAATGTCATTTGTGACAATGTAATGAAACACCATGGCATTATACTGCAATTCATTGGGTATAAGAGCTTAATTCTTTACAGTTCATGCTGCAAAGTACAAGAATTATCATAAGTTCTATTACTTTACTACAGCACGCGCACAGAGCGGAAAATGCCAAGCAAGTGGTCTGAGGAGGCTACTCTCAAATTTGTAAAAGAATATAGACAGCTTGAATGTCTCTGGGATGTCAAATCTTCATCATATAGGTAAGAAGTCATGATCATTGTTGTTCTAACCTCTGTTACCAACAGTGTTATAATTCAAGAATTGTTAGTCCTGCCTGCCTTCTAAATTTCTCTGTCTGGCAGGATGTTTTCCCTACATTTTCTGGAGCTGTACAAACCAAGAATAATTTGCATGTTTATGAGAGTCTGCCATTTGAAGAGAGGAATGCATTATGGCAGAATATTTCTGCATAAGGCATGGTTCTCTCATCGAGTGGTGACAAACACCTATGGACATGCTCACTTAATGCGTGTTGCATCATGATATATATGTCAAAAGCACAGTCCACAGCTTCTAAAACATTGAATTTCTATAAACTGTTATGCAATTATGTCAATAGCAGTAGCTGAAATCCATTAAGTGTTTTTTAAATATATTCATATTGAAACTATGTTCTGTTGATGTGCAAATTTTGAAGTGTATTTGTTGAGATAACTGTTTCCCAGAAATCTTTGAATGTCATTGTTTTATGAAGTATTTTTCCTCTTTCATGATTTTAAGCATATCCAATATTTTTTAATACAAGATAAAAGTGTAGAAACTTACATTTTATAACTTGGTTGTGTACATTTGCTCCTCGGCCATAATTCCCAATTAGATTTTAGGTATAACATGACATGAAGTGAACCATGTCTTTACAGCCCTTTCTTGAGTCCTGGCCTCTGCTTCAGTCTCCTAATCTTTTTTACACAAACAGGACTCCTTGCACAAGTGATCAGGCCGTTCCAAGGTCACTACCTACACACAGCACAACACGAACACAGAATAAACGCATGCAGACATCCATGCCTCAAGTGGTATTGGAACCCACAATCCCAGTGTTCGAGCAGGCGAACATGGTTCATGCTTTATACTGCACAGCCACTGTGATCAGTGAAATATTAATGAATTCTAATATTACAGGAACAAGATTGCGCGTGATGCAGCATACATGAAACTTGCGGACTGTGCCAGTCTGCCTGGCTTCACTGTGCAGGAGGCAAAGAACAAGATCAAGAACTTGAGGTCAACATACAGTCAGGAATTGAAGAAGGTGAAGCAGTCTAAGAAGTCTGGTTCTGATGAAGTTTATCAGCCTTCTCTAATATGGTACAAGGAGATAGATGCTTTCCTTGGTCCTGTCATAGCAAGTAGGGATACTCAGACTTCCATGGTAAGTTAGAACACAACTGACAAGGTATAGCTGTAGTTTCTAGAATACTGGATGATGGACACAATCCTGGGCAAAATCGCACCAGGCCAGATACACACACACACACACACATATATATATATGTGTGTCTTAAGTCTATACACAGATGAAATTATTGGGGATCATCAGTGTGGGTTTTGACGTAACAGATCAACTACAGATCAGATCTTTTGCATTCGTCAGATATTGGAGAAAAAATGGGAGTACGCTGAGACAGTACATCAGCTATTCATAGACTTCAAGAAAGCCTATGATTCAGTTAGGAGAGAAGTATTGTACAATATTCTGATAGAGTTTGGGATACCCATGAAACTAGCTAGGGTGATTAAAATGTGTTTAAACGAAACGTATAGTAAAGTCCGTGCAGGTAAACATTTGTCTGATCAATTTCCTCTCCAGAATGGTCTAAAACAAGGAGATGCTTTATCACCACTCCTTTTGAACTTTGCTTTAGAATATGCAATTAGGAAGGTCCAGGGAAACCAGGTGGGACTGAAATTAAATGGGACACATTAGCTGTTAGTCTGTGCCGATGATGTGAATCTACTGGGTGATAATGCAGATACGATAAAGAAAAACACACAAACTTTAATTGACACAAGTAAGGAGGTTGGTCCAGAAGTAAACACAGAGAAAACTAAGTACATGTTGCTGTCTTGTCACCAAAATGCAGGGCAAAACCATGACATAAAAATAGGAAACAGATGTTTTGAAAATGTGGCACAGTTCAGATATTTGGGAACAATGATAACAGATCGAAACCTGATTCAGGAGGAAATTAAGAGGAGATTGAACTCGGGTAATGGTTGCTATCATTCAGTCCTGAACCTTTTGTCTTCTCGTCTGTTGTCCAACTGTATGGGTGTGAAACTTGGTCTCTGACATTAAGGGAGGAACATAGACTGAGGGTGTTTGAGAACAGGGTGTTGAGGAGAATATTTGGACCAAAGAGGGATGAAGTGACAGGAGGTTGGAGAAAACTGCATAATGAGCAGCTTCATAACTTGTACTCTTCTCCAAGTATAATTAGAATGATCAAGTCAAGGAGGATGAGGTGGGCAGGGCATGTAGCACGAATGGGGAGACGAGGATTGCATATAGGATATTTGTGGGAAAGCCAGAAGGAAAGAGACCATATGGAAGACCAAGGCATAGGTGGGTGGACAATATTAAAATGGATCTTAAGAGAGATAGAATGGGACGGTATGGATTGGATAGATCTGGCTCAGGATAGGGACCAGTGGAGGGCTCTTGTGAACACGGTGATGAACCTTCGGGTTCCATAAAATGCTGGGAAATTCTTGAGTAGCTGCAGAATTGGCGGCTCCTCAAGAAGGGCTCAGCTCCATGAGTAAGTAAGTAAGTGGGTATCAATCGACGAAACACAAGATTGTGAGGGATGGTTTATTGCAAATTGTACAGTTGGATCCCTTAATAAGAATGAACAAACTACCCCATATCTTCTTGCGGTAGAGCAATTTGAAACCACAAATAGCTCCGCAGTTTCCGAATTTGTTATGAATTCCGTGAATTTACTATGGCTGAATGGCATTCAGTATGAGCACGTATTGCTCTGTGACTAATGCGGCAAGTTATATGATGAAAGCCGGTACTGCTCTTAAAGTTATATTTCCAAATACGACACATTTGACTTGCCTTGCCCATGGGTTGCATCATGTTGCAGAAACAATTCGTGCAAATTTTCCGCTTGTTGACAAGTTGGTGTCTTCTGTGAAGAAGGTATTTGTTAAAGTGCCATACAGAAAAGAAACCTTTAAAGCAGTAGCACTGAGTGTTCCACTTCCACCAGAACCAGTTTTAACACGCTGGGGCACGTGGCTGTGTGCAGTGAGTTATTATACCGAACATTTAGAAACAGTTAGAAATGTTGTGAATACATTTGATCCCAAAAGTGCAGCATCAATTCAAATTGCCCAAGATGTACTAAAAGACTCAGAACTATAAACTAATCTTTCCTATATATCTGCTCACATCTCTCATCTTCCATCCGCCATTTCCTCACTGGAGGCAAGCAATAGCAATACTACTTTGTATCAGTCATTAAATGTGTTCAAAACCACTGTTTCCAAATTGAATTCGGTTTCTGGAAGAGATGGTGTAGTAGTAAAGGAAAAAGTACAAAGCATTCTTTCAAAAAATCCAGGATATGAACAAATTTGTGAAATTGAAGAAATTTTAACCTTTAAACGTACTAAACTGCCAAGTAAGAAATCGCTAACCATGGAGCAAATAGCATCTTTTGTACATACGCCCCTAAGTTCCTGTGAGGTGGAAAGAAATTTTTCCTGCTATAAGGACATCTTACGAGACAACAGGAGGCGACTAAACTATGGAAAACCTAAAACATATAGTAATTGTGAACTGCAACAGAAGAGAAGTTGAAAGTTTGGAGAGCTAAATGTGAGTACCTTTGGTTTTTTAAATTTGTAATGAAATATGTTGGTTTTGTTGCATGATTTGTATTTAAGTATAGCTTTTTATTGCAAGTGAATCATTCAGTGATTACATAAAATGAACTTAAATATTGATTTGTTGGTCTTAAAATAATGTAAAATCAGTTTTAATATTTGGTATAAATTTTTATGTGCATATTTTGGAAGTTTTTCATGCATGAATGCATACATATTTAAGGGATTATTAGGGCATAAAAATCTGGTCCCTAATAATCACCGGTGGTATGGTGAGGGGGACTCATCTTCCATTAGTGCAGATATGGTGCTAATCCCTCTTGACATCTGTGCCAGATTTGAAAATTAGAAGCAGCCAACAGAAGATTCTTTATGTTTGAGACTGAAAAATTAATGTTGGAATTGAAAGATGTTTTTCTCGATTTGATCTCAAGAATTTGAGACTGATAGTTGCTATTAGTGCATGGGATTTCAAGGGGTTCAAGATTAAGGTAAAATTATTTTTGAAGAATTTGGTGTAGTCTTTAGTCTGAGGGAAGAATAAACCTACCCATATGTTTAAGTTCCATGCCATGAAGCTGTTCTAGGCACTTGGAATTGACAGCTGTCCAGCATTATAGTATGAGTTCCACTTTACTTTACCTTCGCAGGAGAAGCCTTCAGCAGGCACGTGGGCCTCAAAGGAATATGAGTGAGATGTTTAGGCACCCCAGTCTCTGTTCTTGTTACTTTGGCATCTGAACTAGTATAGACCAGAAATGCCACAGAAAGGAATGCAATGGAAAATATTTAGACATGAGGTGAAGGACACACTAAATAGAAGCAATTACATACTGAGACATCTCACATTTAAACACTGCTCTCAGTTTGTTGGGATAATTAAATCAAAGATATTAAAATGGTTTGGGCATTTAGATCTGATGGAGAACATAGTCCTCTTCCGAAGCAGCCCCTCAGAAGTCCAAGAGGGAAACAAAAAGGTGATAGAAAATTTTAAGATGCAGCATTCTCATATGATAACTAGGATAGCTATGCTCCACAGTGCACAGAAATGTTAAAATATACCTCAGAAGAGTTGATTATGGTAATGTGTGTTATGGTGTGGATCACAGAAGGGTCAATTGATGGATCCTAGGTAGTGTTGGTAATATTGAATCTTCTGTTAGAGAGTTCCACTGTATGATTTAGACATGTGGTAGCATAGTAATGAATTCTTTATTCTAGGAAGCTGAAGTCAGCTCTGTGATGGAAGAAGCCATCACAGAAAATGAAGACACCTTGGAGGGAAATGTGCAAGCTGTTTCTCCATCCCAGTCACAGCTTTCGACACCTACGGAACCTGCTGAAGTTCAGTATGACAGGAAATGTGTTAAACGAAATCATCCAAATCTTCCACCACAAATCTTGCAGTGCAAAAAGAAGAAGGTAACACATGGGAGTCAGACAGCAGCTTCATCTGGAAGTCAGCTTAATCAGTCTCAGAGTTCCAACAAGAATGATGATGAGTTTGATGCATTTGGAAAGAGTGTAGCTGCTCAACTAAAGAAATTTTCCTTGGCTGGTGCTTTGAAAACGCAAGTGAAGATTCAATCTCTTCTAGCGCAGGAACGCATCACTGATGCAATGGAGTCAGAATCTATGTCACCAAATGAGGAATTCAATCATATGCATACCCCACTCACGCCCTTGTCACATCACAGTCAGGCATCCCAGAATGATTCAGTTTGCTGCAACTGTGTTCATGAAGCGTCACAAGTGTACAGCACAAGTGAAGGGCTTGATGACATAAACTCAGCTGATATATTGTCTCAGGCTGTCAATAGTATCTTACCTCAATGATGATTTCTTCATCAAAGTTGATATGTAAGTATATATATAGTGCTGCATTTTGCCAGAACAGGTTAAAGAAATGTTAGCCCATTGAATACAACCCTCACAGAGCAGCTTTCTACAAAGCGTTGAGACTGCAGAAACCTTCATTGTGAACTTAAGGTGATTATGAAAACTTATGTCTGAATTGAGAATGGTTTGAATATTTTTCCACAAATGATACATTGTGTTCAGAAGTTGTGGTCTCAATTAGAAACTCCAACTGACTACACATTGTTTCCGAGGTTTTATAAATATTCCATTAGGCATAAACTTATGATTTTTATATTTTGTCATATTATCATGCATTGTGTGACCAGATGCGGGGTTTAGATTGGTAATCAGATTAACTGGACTCATATTTTCATCTGGTAATGCTCCAACACCATAGATTCGTCAGCTTCCATGTTCTGCAGCTTCTGTCTTCACTGGCTGGTGACTGTCTGTCCTCTTTAACTAGACGTCACCTAGTCAAGAGTCTTCTAACAAAGGCTGTTCCTTCCACCTTTACAGTTCAAAAATTGCACTCACTGACTGCCTTTTAAGGCTCCTGACTCTCATGACTACACTTTACAAATTACAAATCACTGTCACACACAGACTGGTGTTCCCATTCATGGTTTTCCCTGCACTGCTGGGCAACGTCTTCCAACAGTGGACATTTCTCTGCTCCTGCATGCAGGACAGACCCAGTTCAAAACACCTCTTCCAGCAGTTCTCTTGTTGTAGCATAACATCACTGCTGTCGCTGAGAGGTGTTTATTGTGCCATAAAACAGCAATGGGTGACATATTTAGCGAGTGGCATGATGTGTTCAGTTGTTGCTTGTAAACATGGCCATTGTCACACAACATCCACTGAGCCACTGCGACGGATATGTTTACAGAACCATTCCCATGAACTGCCATCTCTGCTGACTTCACAGTTCTTGCTGTCAGCTGACATGTGACAGTATGAGTAGAAGAAAGTAAGATGTATGTTGGAAAACTGTTCTAATATTGTTCATATGTTTCATAGTGCTGAACTACTTGAATTGTAGTGATGACTGTGCTACACAGTGTTTTGTATTTTAGAAAGACGTTTTGAATTCTTATTGTATGGATCCAGGATGGATGATATTTTGTATCAAGAATGTTTGTAATTCTCGATAGTTTTACGTAATTGTTAGTCTTTATTAAGCCATATGTTGTACTGTTTCTGTGGGAGGTTCAGCTGGTTCGGCAGTGATTTCATTAGTAGTAAAGTTTCCCCTGACTGTAAATCTGGAAGACAGCCCCATAGTGTGGATGGTAAAGTTTATCAGCTTATTATTTATATAACCTACAGTTTTTATGTAAGTTTTATGAAAATCAAATTTGAAATGCACATGAAAATTAAATTCTGCTGAAGGAACCACCATAACAACAGTTCTTAATTTCCATTTGAATAATCTCTTTTCTCAGTACTTTTCCTTAAATTTGTTTTATTTAATTCAGTCCCAGGATTCTGTGGCATGGGGCTAGCTCATGGTGGCTTATCCAAATTGAGGGTGATGAGGGGGTTGATTGGTGGTGATGAAAATAATGCACACCGACATTTGTGCTCTAGATTGGATGCAAACCTGTTGTTTGCTCAGCCAAAGTTGTGCATGTATTAAACCTCTGCTTGAAGTATCTTCTTCCGTTTTGGAGGGGGTCGACCCCTCCACAAGGTCCAATACTTGTCTTGTTGTAGGCCGACAGAAGATCCAGCTATTCGCTTCACAATCTTCACGCTGACAATCTCATTGAAGGTCTCCTTTCGAGTTCCTGTCCATCCTAGGTGCAATCACTGTCCTGATCTACACCCTCCGATGGCATCCTTGGTTGGCACCTTTTCCTTCTGGCATAGCAGCCATCTGCCGCCTTTATGCTTTATTCCCATTCTTCCTTTCCAGGTTTCTTGTTCATAATTGACCCTGGTTGAATATTTCTTTACGAAATTTCCCTTGTGCTGTGTCGCACCTGCATGGATAGTCATATTTCTGTTGGCAGCGAATTCATGCCACGGTCCACACTTTCCTTGGGTCCAAGATTTCCTGAAGATGTTTCTTCTGAGCCATGCCACTGTTGCATGGCAGGACACCTTCCTGCTGGTTTTCTTCTGCCGTGCCACTTCCACATGGCTGCTCATCCCTCTGCGGGCGATGGCCAGACTTCTTCAGCACCCATCCTTTCCCTGCGTCCGTTTCTTCATATTTTGCTGGTTTCGGTCCCTACGCCTTTTCTTCTTCTTTGGTTCTCTGACCAGCATTACTTCGGCGTCTTCTACGGGGACCTCTTGTCATTCTGCCGCCTCAGGTTTTATGTCCACTGAGGTCGGCTCTTCTTCTAGAAGATGTGCCTCCATCATTTCTCTGCAGGCCACCATCTCCTTGTCTCTTTCAGGTTTGGTTTCAGCAGCCATCTGCTTGTGGCTGGCGCCCATATTTTCTCGCATGGCTCTCATCCTTGCTTTGATTGCATCCATTTCTGCGGCAATCTTTTCTCGCCAGGCTTTTATATCGGCCTCCATTTCTTCCTTGTCGGCCTTCCTATCGGCCTCCGCCTTTTCTTGGTTGGCGTCTAATTTTGCAAGCATGATGTCTGTTTTTTCTTGGCCAGCTATGATTTTCTTCAGCAGGAGTTCCATCATCTGCTGTGAATCCATTTCTCGATGCACTCATAAATTCAGTTATTTGTTGAGGCATGTTCAAGTTCGTAAAGCACTTCTGACACCAAATTGTCACGTGTTGGGTGTATAACACGACAAATAACTTCATGCCATCTTGGATCTAGTGAATTTATTCCACTCGCTCTTACATTCATACAGTTCACAATTACACACTTACTGCCATCGGTAGTATCACAATTCCTTCCACTGCTCTCGGCGACTTCACGATCCACACTGTGTCACTCCTGATCACACACACACTCAGATACTGCTCAGCTGGCTTTTTATACCGTTCCCGGTTGCCTCCTGTTACAGCAGTGTCCCCTGTTACGTCACAGTGGGAAGTGCTGTTACGTCACCATGGTGGAGGGGGTGGAGTGTTGACTGGCCTGTTACTGTAGCAGTGACAGCGCTCCAATGCTGTTACGGCACCACTGGTGAGGGAGGGGGTGTGCTGCATAGTGCAAATATGTCACAATACATTTTAACCTTAAACGTACGGACTTCTAAATTGCCGGTAGCCTTATGCGGCCAGAATTTTAATGGCCCTAAGTCTTTAACATTGTAGATTTTTCAGAAAAACTAAATATTTTCTGTTCTATGCAACATAGAAATACAAAAAACAACCTGAAAGATGATAAAATTTTCTACATATACACAAAAGAACAATTTTTGCCAGTCCACCACACACGGCCTGACATCAGGCTCCCGCTTTTCTTATTTAGTGAACACACATGACAACATCTTTGTTTTACCTCCAGTCGACTCATTTGGGCCCCAGATGAACTTTGCCTCCTCCGAGAAACGCCACTGACCTTGATATTCACCTCGTGCGACTGAAGAATCAAATCCTGCACTAGGATTTCGCGGAATTTTTTTTGTGTGTCATCTTTCCACCACATGACTTGTGTAATAGATAGGCATTGAGAATAGTCATGTCTAAAAGGCGGAAAAACAATTTCTTTGTCCATTTCCATGAACTACTGAAATGACTTTGCGTGGGTTTATTTTGGTTTCAAACTGAAAATCAAATTGTCAGTAGTCCCAAAGAGAGCACATGTCCTACAGATAAATCTAACATTCATAAGTTAAAGGTTGATGCTGTATGTAAAGCAAAAAAAGACATGCAATAACACTGTAAGTTTATGTGGTACCACCATTGTTTTCATATTTATAACCTCAGACTAATCTTATGATTTGCATTTGAAACAATGTCTGTAAAACTGAAATTAGTGTAACAGGTATTTATAATTCAAAAGATTATTTTTGTACTAGTATTAGAATTCTTTATACTTGATGACTAAATATTTATATTTGAAATTAGTTAAAAACCTATAACCATATTCATGATTAAGAAGTGCATCTTCATATGAGATTGCACATTGGTTACAGGTGGTTCACTGCTCAATGAAATATTAGAAAACAATAGCACTTTATGAACCAAATGTCTCCTTAAAGGAGTTTAATCCAGAGATCTTTTATTTGCAAATTTCGTGTTCTTCAATATAGTTGTTGTTGTTGTTAATATGAAACACATAAATGGACAGAGTATTTAACAAATCCTTTCAATGTGGTAAAAATCAAGTGCTTGGAAAAGACAATAACAAACAGAAATTATATCTTGTTCGGGAATGAATGCTGTTATTAAGAATATTTAAGTTTGTGGATAGAACATTGGAAGATAAAGTTCCTATATCCTATCCAGCAACCTAAACATTATTATTATTATTAATATTATTATTATTATTGGAGGGGGTGGGTTTCCCCATGCACTGTAACCAGTTGTTGATCTATTGTACGTCCCCCTTTGATATTCTACCAGTCTCCATATCCTACTGGTACTGGTGCGTGCTGTCAGCCCCGTTGAGCCAACGAGGTCGGCCCTCGGTACCTTGATACTTCCCCCATCTACCAGAGGCATTGGAAACTACTTGTGCGGGAAATTGTTGCCTAATTTAGCTCAGAGGTCTCCTAGAGACATGAGGTTCTTTTACGTGCCGTAAATCTACAACACAGGACACACGGCTTAAAGTCCCTCCCGGAAGACTTGTTCCCTGAATTTTTACGCCCTTAAAAATTCCACAACCTCCGCCAGGTTTGAACCCACGTACCTTGAGTAATGAGGTGGGAACGTTACCCCTAGACTATGGAGGCCGCTAACCTAAACATTAGGTCTACAAGCTATGACGTAATTTTACCTGTTATTTTGTATGAATCTGAAAACTGGTCTCTCTGAGGGGAGAATGTCCTATGAGGGTTCAAGAGAATAAATACCCAGGAACTTATTTGGGCCTAAGAGACAAGATATAAGAAAACAGTCCAGAAAATTACACAGTGAAAGGCTTCATAATTTGAGCTCTGCTTAATATTGTTTGGACAGTAAAATCGAGATGGCTAACTTGAGTGGTACATGTAACCTAAATGGGGAAATGAGAAATGCATACAAAAATTTAGTCTTGAAGCCTCAAGAGAAAAGGACTGCTTGGGTGTGAATAGGAATGTAGTGTTAAAATAGGTTATGAATAAATATGGTTTTGTTGTATGGACTGGACTCAGTTAGCTCATACCAGGTCCCAGTGGTGGCGTTTTTTTTAACACAACGTTAAACCTTCTGATTTCTTAAAAGCCGGTAACTTCTTTACCAGCTCTGGAGCTGTTAGTTGCTGCTCAAGGGAGGTTGCCTTAAAGTTTATTGTGTTTTAATTCATTTAGCCATTTAAAGTAAAAGTATATCATACATATTGAAATAAGCGGCCCTTTTGTTCAGCAGATATGCATACCGGCAAACGGTGTGTATCAGCCGTCATGTCAAAAGTTACGCAACTGCCACTGCATTATATGTTTCAACACGGGGGCCAAAACTGAACATGACAGTACCCGTAAACGTGTTCTTAGGAATGGTGCTGCATACAGGAATAGTATCCACCAAGCCAGAAGGTACAAAAAGTAAAGAAGATATGAAATAGATCCTGAAGTATTGTGTTATTGCAATTTTCCATGGAAAACAGAAGAAATATTCTGTTGTAATGGAGGCGCGAGGTAGTGTGGTTAATTGAGAACGGTGGAGAATCCAAAAACCTGGGGCATATCCACTATCCATGCCACATTGAACTGTAAAGATTACTTCATTTTACTAACTGGTTATTATTCAATAAAACATATTTTTCCAATATAAGAAGTAACCCTTGTGGGATAGCATAGTTGGTATAGTGACTGGCTACAGGGTGGATGACCAAGGGGTTGGAGTTCGAATCCTGATAGGGTAAATAATTTTCTCTTCTCCATGTCCAGACCAGCTCTGGTGCCCACCCACCCTCCTATCCAATGGGTACCAGGGGCTCTTTCCCTGGGGATAAAGTGGCCGGGGTGTGCAGCTGACCGCTCACCTCACTAGTGCCGAGGTCAAGAAAATGTGGATCTATGCTTCCACTCCCCCATACAGCCTCATGGCATAGTACTTACTTAATTAAGCACAGGGACAACTTTACCATGTTCAGTTCTTGTATGCTCTGGAATACAGTACAATAATAAAATAGAATGCTGCAAACAGAAAGAAAATATTTACAGGTATAATTGGTGAGAAATGTGATGGGCAACTCTTAAATTAAGATGGTATCATTAAGGGTATTAATGGGTGTTAAAATTCATGCAGTTAGTCTGCCCATGGCTAGACAAGAGTCTACAGTTGATTTTTAAATATACATTGATTTTGTTAGCTATTTGTTGTTTAAATAGACAAGATTTTGTATTATAATTGGTGTTATAGTAATTGTTTTAACGTGAAGTTTTATACTGGAGATTGATTAATCTTTTATTAATTGGCTCCTGGTTTTTAAAATAACCAAAAGAATGCTAATCATGGAGATATGGCATTTGTGTATTACTGTTCTGTTTTGATGTATTGGTCGGAAAGATTTCTGGCAATTATTGTATATTGTTCACAGTACCTGTATATTGATGGATAAATATTTTTAAGAACTTTGATCGCGTAGCTGTCTCGTATCTTATGTTCACTGTATTTATATAAAAAGTGCATTTATCTTCAGTCCTGTGAATGTTTGGGACTGTTCCAAGGTTTGAATCTTGTGCAGTTATGTTGATAAAACCCA